GTGAGTCTGCATTTTGGGTCCTTCTCCTGCCTGCCACACAACGTACCATGACATAAACGGCATTTTCGGTCACTGAAAACTGTGATTTTTAAAAACGCCTTCCAGGGTGGATATTTTCGAAAACTCAATTTTTGCATTTACATGTGGACAAGGAAAACGGAGAAAACGCAGCGCCAAATGTGTGCGCATTTTTTGACGTGCGCCACATTATTGTTTCGGTGAAATGAATTTCTACAATGGCGGACTTACACCAAATACTGTTACTCTCTGCAGTGTTTAAATGCTTACATATACACACACACAGTTACTGTCCCTCCACACAGGACTCAGTCCTGTTTCTATGTGCAGATCTATCTTTGTTTACTCTTTCCCACCGAGGCTTCTAGATTTCTGATTGGCCAACATTTCTACACGGTTAGGAATATATCGCCACCTGTTGCTTTGGCATGTTCCTAGCAGCGTTTTCCTTCGTTTTTGCGTTTACGTGTGGACAGGATTTTTTTTAAAAACAAAAACGGAAAATCTCAGTTTGCAAAAATACCCGTGTACGTGTGGACGTAGCCAAAGTCTATTTTGTAGATTTCCTGAAAGGAGGATAATCCAAGGATACGTTCATTGTCTAATGAAGTTGGACTAACAAAATGTCAGTTAGTAAGTGTGTGGTTTCACAGTCAGTTCAGAGTCACTTCCACCATACGAAACAGGATTTCATTCACCAGTGGGTGTCATCACAGTACCTATGTCCATCTTTTATACTGCCTATTAGCTTGATGTTTGCTTTATTACACTTAATTTATTTTAGTGCACAAGAATGATTTTCAGTGCAGACCTAAAATGATGTGAGACAGGGGCACAAAGTAGTGGAGCCAGTGGCTCCTTGGCACTGGCTTCACTACTTGGCAGCTATATTGGTGAGGATATAGCTGTCAAACACTAAATCTTTGTATTCAGACTGAATTAGCAAACACTATATCCATTTAAAATCAGCATGCTAGGTTTGGTATGATGGTACACTAAGCAACTCCAACCTCATATAAATATATTTATGTAAAAGTCAAGAAATTTGACAGAGAGCGAGATTAGACCAAGCTAAACATGATGAAGCATCATCTGCAACTGCCTCACATCTCTCGACAAAGTTCATTCCCCTTTTTTTAGCTGAGTGTAAATCGCTCAAAATGACAAATACCTATCATCATAGGTTTTTTTTGCATAACTGTGCTGCCAGAGGCAAAATAACAGAGACAGACGTTTCCTGCCAACATCATTAGCCCTCGCGTCATGTGGGGCCACAACAGTGTTTCGTATGAAAATAATTTCCATCAATATGTTACACAAATACACGGATACAAATGATGTTTGTTTAAATATGAACTCGGTACGATCAGTCATCTTATTTGCCTGTAAAGCCTTCTAACCACATCTTTAATTCCTTTGTAAACAAGAACACAGAAAGCAAATTTATCCTTATCTCGGTCTGTCACCTGTGTGTAGGATTGTGCCTTAATCTCTTTAACGCGAGCTCATTTGAACTGGAACACAACATAATTTGCACACATTTAACAGTCTCTGCATAAGCGTACTGTGTTTTCAATGCCTTGCTCAAGGGCATCAACACTACAGGAAGGGTTGCTGTGCTGCACTATATTATAAAACCAACACTGCAGTAAAAAAAAAAAAAAGAAAGAAAGAAAAATTCCTGCTGGTGGCTTTTCTTTGAGCTTCTATTCCCCTCTCGGCAGCTTTCTCTGCCTTTTCCTGTTTACCTCAAGAATAGTGAGATATGTGATACTCCGACGGGATGTAAAACTACACACAAACAAGCGCACGCATCCACAACACATCTTCATGGAGTCAAGGGCATTATAGGTTTGTGCCAGTCTATTTCAGGTGAAATATGACAGCACCTATATGGGTCTTTTGAGTTATTTTGACAGCCTATAGCTGCAGTCTAGAGGGGCATAACGCCATTAACAGGCACCAAGTGTAAGCACAGAGCTGCGTCACGTCCCATCAAGAGACGGGAGCGAGAGCGGGAAATGAAAGCAAAATCAAATCAAATTAAAAGAGAACATAATAATAATCAATTAGTCTAATTCAATGTTTTGAATGACAGAATTTCTGTTTTCAGCCAATTAAATGAATGATAATTAACTGGAAAAACAGGATTAAAATCCACAGAGCAAACAGCATCATCCACTATTCACTCCGAGCAAAAATTCATAACACTTTTGTTCACATCTTTGTCTCAATTCATACAATCCTCACACATACGCGCACACATTTGCAGGCACTGCAGAGTTTTAGACGTCTCAGATACGGACTGCAAGAAGTAATTATTTGCTTGATCGTTTAGTCTGCTAATTATTTTCTTGATAAATTAATTTTGTCTATAGTAAATATCAAGAAAATAGCCACCACATTTTCCTGGATCTATTACTGACTTTTAATTTAATTTTACAAGTCCAAAATGAGATAATTTAAGTTTCTCCAAAGGTTCTATTAGACATCAAACTTCAAATCTGAAAAGCTGGAGCTGAAAAAAGAAATCCTACTAAAATAATTAAACACATCATCCAAATAGCTGCTGACTATTTTCAGTTATGTATTTTTATCTCATAACTGGCACGCTCATTTTCTTTCAGGAAATTGATGTTTCCTTTCCCGAGCAGTTATGACTACAAGGTTTATGTGAGTGGAAGAGAATTATACTACTAGCATATACAGAATGGCTACATATTAACAGTTTGATTTATTACAATGGTATAATGCAAGATTAATTAATTTTTCCATTCAGTTCAATTCAATTTTATTTATATAGCACCAACTCCCAACAACAGTTGCTTGATATTGTAAGGTCAAGACCCTAAAATAATACAAAGAAAGCAACAACAAAAAACCCCAACAATCATATGGCCCCCTATGGCAAGCAATCCAGCGACAGTGGGAAGAAAAAACACCCTTTTAACAGGAAGAAACCTCATGCAGAATCAGGATCAGGGAGGGGTGGCCATCTGCTGCGACTGGTTACTGAACACTTAGGAAAGATTCTCCTGTTTTGACTTTGTAGTCACATCAACTCGTGCTGCCCGAAGTCCTTATTAAAAGACTCCAGGTAATGCCACCAAGAAAAAAACTCTGTACTCTGAATTTCTGTAGTATTAGTGATGAGCAAGAGGAGGAGCTTAATGGTGTGGGTGGAGTCATCTTTGTCTGAATGGGAATAAGACCAGAGAGATGCAATTTACCTAAGTAGGCCTCCAAAATGACCAAGCACCTGGGTTTCCTCATCACGCGCACATTCTTTGAGTCATCTTTCCTGTTGGATGGAATATAACCAATGGTTATGAGCGGAAAAATGTTTCTCCCCCAAATGGTTGGCAGTGGGCGAGAAATTTGGGGTTGAGTTACTGCCACTTCCTATCACTTCTGCTATAACACCACTAACGGTGGACTGTGGAATATTTAATAATAAAATTTTCATGACTGGACTTGTTGCTCAGGTGGCATCCTATCACGGAACCACGAAGGAAGTAAATGAGCTCCTGAGAGCGACCCATTCTTTCACAAATGGTTGATTTTATACACCCACGGTGATGGAAGTGACTGGAACACCTGAAATAAATCACTTGGATTGGTGAGTGAGTACTTTTCAGTACCTTTAGTCTTATTTGTACTCATCGAATCTTATCACCAGTTTGTTTGCATGACATTATGATACCGCCACTTTGCTTCCAGGAAAAACTTCAAAAGGCCAGCTGCTGTGTGTGATTTATTTATTTATTTAAACGAAGCATGTCTAATTCTGCACGTAAGATAAAGATACAGTTTCCATGGAGCAACTTCAACCTTGCTTATTTTAAATAATTAAATATTACAAAACATTAAACAATCTGAAAAAGGTCAATGATCTTAAACTTTAAACATAAGATGAAAACTCACCCACTCACACAAATTCTACTCCCTCATTTAGATGCTTTTAAAGCTCTGCACATAATTTCTGCCCCCTCATAAACACTTGCCTTTGATGTTCCTTAGCACCCTCAAAGGCTCTCATGGCTGTCTGATCTGTGACAGCACAACACTAACCTCTACAAACTGATATCTACATATGAATGCACATAATCTGGAGTCAACCAGACCAGAAGCTTATCCTGCACTTAGTCTCACGAGTTTTGACCGATCATGTCTGAGCAGGCTTTGACTAAATGCTGTTTGTGTATCTAACATGCAAATCATGAAAACATCTGCTCTCATACAACTGTTTAAAACATATCTGTAAAGGTGGACTGTACTGGAAACTGAGCCTGGATATCACTTATCTGGATATTTGCTGGCTAAGATTCTCTCATTTCTCACACAAAGACACCTTACAACACACATCTTAAAACTGCGTCAGCTGTGAGTAAAGCCCTGTTTCCTAAGAAAGAAAATTAGAGCTTGAGGAAAGAGAAATGTAAGAAGCAAGTCTGACTAAGTGTGGAGGAAGAAAGTCAGACGGAGGAAGAAAAACAGGAAGGAAGTAAAGATGGTGAAATGAGAGGAAATAACCTGGTAGAAAGTCAGGAAACGCTGACATGTGCAAGAGTGTGTGCAGCAGTCTGACGCACCTATGCTGTTGGTGACTGAGATTTGTTAATGGTGGACATCCCACGCCTGACATCTCAAGAAAGTCTGTGTTGCTTGGCAACACTCCAGACCTCTCTCTACAGCATCTCTTGTCTTTCCTGCATTTCATCATTACCTGTCTCCCTTTTCTTTTGCTTTCAAGGTTGTCGCAAATGAGTTCTGTAACTTAATTTTTAAAAAGGTGACGCTGCAAAGGAAAGCCCCGCACATGCTTTGGCGTCAAGCTGCGTTCACATGGAGATGGTCAGTGGAAACCTGTAGCTAGTAACGACAATTCTCAACAGGGGAAACTTCGTAATGAGGGAGTGAGTGCAGTCATGTGTGCACAAAAAACACGCATGTGACAGGCAGCAAGGATATGCTAAATTCATTACCTCGGGCCACAAAGGTACAAGGTACAGACACACAAATATGTATAGACACACAAATATTAAAACATAGGCAAACTTTATTTCGTGCTTGCTTAAGACGTGCAGTCTTGCACAAACATAGAAAAATAAATAAAATGTCCGCAGCTGCCATTTAATAAAGGTACATATTTACTTTGCTGTTTTTGTTTCAGGGTATGACTTCACGTCAGATGGCTATTTTGGAAGCTGTGAATTGTGGGCCTGTTGAAATACTTCAAGCAAGTTTTGACATTAGACATCCATCTCCGTAATGCTACAGGGCAGCTTTTCTTATTCCACTACTCATGAACCTTCATCCAACACAATGGACTGGCAGCTGCTGGGACTGGATGTGTTATGAGAAGTAGGGGTGGGTTTACCGATTAAAATTGGTTAGGTTAAACCTCACAAAATTTCAACAACCACCAAACAACTAAAACTGTAAATGAGAGCAGGTACATGGATTCTGCACAAATTCGTAAACATAGAGCACGGACCCGCCGACGCATCAGAATTGGTGAGATGTCAGCTTTCTATGTTTACGTCTTTTTTTTTTTTTACGCTAGATTCTGACGCTGCAGGTTTCATCATCCTCCAACTGAACCATCAGCAAAAGAAGATCCAAACTAAGCTTCACCTTTCGCTTCACGTAAACATCGTCATGAATTCCCTCTTACTTTTGCTGTTTTGCTTCCACCATGATAAAATGACACGTCATGCACAGCTCTCCCTCTCTCTCAGTGTACTTCAAGAAGAGTGTCACATCTAAAAATCTCTGTTTTCTGCATTATCCACTTTCTTATTACGCACCAGTCTACCACTGTGTACAGCGCTGTCGGCCGCGGTTTGTTTTTAATTTTTTTAATTTAACTAACTTACAACAAGAAAGTCTAAGTTCTGCTGCTGAAGAAATGTAAACTTTTTAAAATATGCGAAATTGCAAAATGCTTAGCTGTGTCTCTAATTAAACCTCTGTAACTTTGCTTCAATTTAATAAAGTTACGTTGAAACCAAGCACACCATTGTTTTTCTTGTGACATTACCAATAAGTTTGATGTGTCACATGGCCCTCTTCCTATTGAAAAAACAAAAGTTGTATCCAAGATGGCCGACTTCTAAATGGCCACCATGGTCACCACCCATCTTGAGGAGTTTGCCTCCTCACATATACTAATGTGCCACAAACAGGACTTTAATATCACCAACCATTCCCATGTTATTACGGTGTATCCATATAAATGGCCCACCCTGTAGAATGAAACGGTAAAAGGTAAAGAGTTAATAACATTTTTTTCAGACCACACTTTATTCGTTTTTTTGGTCTTCGTCCTGGTTAGAAATTGAGACAAACAGGATAGAGGTACATTTCCAGGCACTGGAAAATTACACAAGTTCCCATTAATGATGAGAAGGGTTTCTGATAGTTAAGCTTGAACACATGTTGTAAAAAAAATCTGTATTTCTCATGCCAAATTCTCTTTGACTCCTACAACTAGTATATATCTACACACCAATACCTGAACACTCCCCGGCACCTTTCTACCAAGCATCCGTGGTTTTTGGAGTGGTGAGGTGTCTGATCAGAGTCCAGAGACAATATCCACCCTGGGCACATCCTTGCTCACCCTGATACCACCCGGTGGCAGAGGACAAAGAAGTATCCCCTACTAAACAACCAACTCTCAGGTGTTTCACCCTCAGGTGTAACTAAGGTATAGCTATGAATTTAACAGTGTTGTTTTTCAGCCACATAATATTTTAAAACACTTCCATAAACCCTTCATTGCAGTATTTTACATTTGCAATGGCTAGCCATCCTATTTCACAGAAAATTATCAGCCAACACTGCTTTTCCCCTCGGCTGTACTGACCTTTCAGGTCATTGTTTTGGTTTTCTAGTCTTTTGGATGCAGCAGGCAGCTGTGATCAACAAAAACTCTCCTGTGAGCTCTCCGCTCAGCACCAAACAGAGCTGCCAGGTCTGTTTGATAAAACCAGCCCCATGGCCAATCAAACTAACCTATAATAAACAATACAATATAACACCCAAAAGGCAGGCACCCGGTGTTGGAGAGTATCGCAAAATAGTTTGTTTTCTATCTAAGCCTGCATGCTGGAGTTTGGCTTTTATGATTTTTAGGATATATTGGCAATTTTCATACACAACACGAACTCATGGACAAGAAAAGTTCAACCTGCAGAAATGCTTCAAATGTGGGCCAATTACTCAGAAAACCGCAGACCTCGCAACCATAGCAACCCTGGCACCAACAAAGTCAGTAACTAGCTGGTGAAAAAGGAAGCATATAGCAGCTACTGTAAAGAGCTGAAAGGAGCACTCTTGCCAGAAATTCAAAATGTAAATGTTGCCTTACACATTTCTCAGAGATAAAAATGTACGTGTGATTTGGCACATGACTGTAAACACTGTTTATATGTCAGTGATGCTTTTCCAGTTTAGATAGATTCATGCATTTCTTTTCTGCAAACCCCCCCCCCAAAAAAATACTCTGTATCGGGTGCCAAACATAAGGCCCAGGGACCAGAATCAGCCTGGCAAAGATTCCAATCTGGTCCTATGGAAGGTTTTAGAAAATATAAAGGAAGACATTGCTCTTGGATTTGTAAGTGTATTTTCACAAGGTTTACAGTTTTTTTTCTACTGATCAAGACCTCCCCCACTGGCCATTAACACAATTTCATTTTAGATTTCAGTCAGTTTACCTCTTGCAATTTAAACCCAAAGAGTCATGCTTATAGATTTCTTTCATTTACTACAGCAGCATGTTAGAAAAACTGAAACATGATGTTGAAATTGTGCTTCTTCATCTTCTATTATTACATTTATATATTTATATATCAATATTATATAGTAAGATTTAATAGATTCAATGTTTAGTTCAACATCTTTTCACTGGCAAAAAGCGGAGTTTCACCAGTCTAGTTGAAAGTGGGCTGTATGAATTTTCCAATGAAGAATTTGAATAATTTTAATGGCATTAAAGTATATTGAGGGGGGGTTAAAGAAAACTTTAAATTACACCGTATTTCACTTTAACATGGTGCTTTAAGCGGTTTATTTTAAGGTTAGACTTTCTGTATGACTCATTACAAAAATCTAGCACTTTGATTGACAGCTTTAAGTGACAGCTGACAACCAGGAAACTAAACACTCAGACAAGAGACAGAGGTTAAAACACTACTGCGGACATCTAACGAGGGAGAAAGATGACCAGGGGGGACTGGTGAGCGCGCATGTTAGCAGATGTCACGTGGATTGATAAAAACAAAAGATTGAGATGTAAACAATGGTGGCGACTGCAGCACAGCTAATTTTTTTTAGACCCTATTAATCCTCTAAGGGGATGCAAATGCTTTTTTTGTGTGTGTTTATGTTAACTCTGTTTATCCACAATGGCAGTGGGAAAATCACTGCAGTGATAAGTTAATTATTCAGCAACGACTCGGTCCTTCTCTCCCTCTGACACTCTGTTCCTTCCACTTCTACTTCTTCAATAAAACCAGCGCGAGCACGCACGCACGCACACACACACAAATCCTCCCACGCAAGCTCGAGATGATGTCACACACAAAAAGCTGATGATACCGAATACGCTGTGTATACCCACATGCTCGCATTCAAAGGTTTAAGCTATCATGCACAGCGCATTAGTACAAACGCACACACTCGCCCAGGTGCGAACATCTCCAGGCGGTGTGCCAGTCAGGCCGGCAGGCTGCCAGTATACCAGACAGAGGGTCTGTTGTGTTGTAAATGTCAGATGTCCCGCTGTTTGTGCCAGCATGCATCTCCCTGCTAAGCACTCATTTAAACACACTTAATACACAGCGTGTGGGGCTGAGGGAGCCGGAAGGAAGAAGTAAAGATGGAGCGGGAATACTGAGAAGTAGTGTGAGTTTGGATCAAGCCTGCTTGTTCAGTAAAACCCTAAAAATCAAGCTTCTGTCCTACACAGCCTTTCTTTGTTGTTGTAATATGCCCATTTTTCCCCACAGGGATCATTAGCCTTTCATGTCGCTTCACTGTATCAGATATTTCAGCTGAGAGTTATTCAGAGTTCATGAACTACTCGTAAAGGTAAAAGGCTTCAAAAAAAAAAAAAACTGGAGAGATAGGGAGGATCTTCAGAAATGTATGATAAGGAGATGAAGAAAGAGGCAGAAACTGAGCAGAGTATTTAGAACTGCCAGGAGAGCCGGTCTCTCTAGTGACGGCTCATTCACTGCGTTCCCAAGGTAACCAGTGAAAGTATTCGCTCAGAACAATGGCAATATCACTAGCCTGTAATTTGTGTGTTTGTGTGTTGCTTTACTCTACATCATGTATGTTAAATAAGAATTGTGATGATGATATCATTCTTTGACTCTGTGCACACAGACACTACATTATAATGCAAATTAGGAGTCAAAACATCATCATCATGCAGTTAGAGTTAGTTAATTCACTGCATGTGTGTGTGTGTGTGTGTGTGTACCTGCGACAGGCTGGAGAAGCCCAGGTTACGACAGCCATTGCATGGAGTCAGTGCTTCCCAGAAGCCAGTGGGACCGCAGCTCTTTTCTGCCTCATCTTCTTCCATGGCCGGAGGGAGAGGTGGCGTCGGCCGCTGTGAGCACAAAATTCAGAACACAAGTATACGATTGTCATTATAACAAGTAACCAGTAATAATCAGCTCAAAGATTAGAGGGTGTATGTGTCCCAAGAAGATTAATTGTCAACCGGACAAAGAAAAGACTGATGGTACCGTACAAAAGCCATTTGTATACATCAGCATAGATTTAGGAGGACAGAGGGTGACAGCAGTTATTTTCAAAGCTGCTATGACCAATATATTTACAGTAACAGTGGCTCGTGTAACCCTGACTCAGACAGAAACAAATTGGAATAAACAAGCTTTTACATTAAGACTGAATTAAAAGAACAGCAGAGCTCCTGAAGGCTCTGCTGGTTGAGAGAGGGGTGGGAGTTGGAGGCTATTATGAAGCCTTTCCAGGTGCCACTTATTGGTCAGAAGCAGCTCACTGTTGATTTGCCTTCTGGAAAGAAAAAAGAAGCAAGTAGGACCGCAGACACTGGTCACCCACCTCTGCCATTCTCTTTAGCTCTACACACAGAGTTATTAAATTCATCTTTTTGGCTTCAAAGCACAATGCTAACGTCGCTCTGTGACAGCTGTGGGTGCAAGTAAGTGGCAGTTTGCTAAAATTATTTAACTTATGGTGCTTATGGCTAAATGTGCAGCAGATTCACCAAAAACACTCTTATGGGATAAAATCAAACAATCAAATACATTCTTATCTAGAATTTCTTTCCCTGGCTTTCTTCCATTACTGGAGATTTTGATAATTACAGTAAAAGCCAGCTTATTTCCCTTCAAAGGCACCATCTTTATCAACCTCAGTATCTTTTTGTGAAGCTCTTCATGGGGATCACAGCAAAAACCTGCAACCCTTCTCATATAACTACTTGAAATACCTGCACAGCACTGCTTTGGGCTAGTATGTGTTAGTGAGAAAAGCCCATTAATAGCAGAACATCTGAGGCTCACACGCAGTGCCCTTTCCTGGGGGCTCTTTGGCTCTCAGGGGACAGGTGTGCGGATGGGCTCTGCAGTATGAAGCGTCAGAGGGCAGATAAAGCCCACCTGATATCTCTGTGAACCAAACAACGCAGCCGAGGGCGTAGACCACAGCAGATTACAAAGACAAAAACACATATCGGCCGTCTCTAAAACTGCATATAGCTTTTACCAGGAGTGATGAGGGTGCACAGACTGAGGGAGGTCTCATGTTCATCATGCGGTGATTATCTTTAGAACAGAGGTCTAAAAGATGACAAGCGAGAGGGCAAAAAGAACAAAAAAAAGAAAAGGATTAAGAGCGGCAGGAATGCAGAGGGCATACTAAAGAAGCAAAGAATGAAAACTGTGCACCCAAATGAAGTTACAGAAGGAAGGAGAGACAGATGGAAAGAGCCAAAGAACGGCAGCGAGAATGGAGACGGAGGCAGAAAATGAGGCAGAAAGCGAAAGGTCACCAATCGCTCCAGATTGCAGAGGGCCCTTTGCAACACTTGAATATTGATTGATCTAAAAAGGACTGCAGTATTCACATATACATACTGCACTGTATGCATAAACAATACATAACCTTTCATTACAGTATGAATGTGATGCCAGCCAGTGTTCAATAGAGAGGACACAGTTAATTATTCATACTGAAAGCTGCATAGTTAATCAATATTACATTAGTTGTCAATGGGAAACCTTTAAAGGGATAGATTATGACTTAGGGAAAATCACCTGCTTAACTACATGAAAATGTGTCTTTTATGTCTGTCTGAAAGCTTCTTAACACAAATGAGTTTAGTTCATTTGATGGAGGAAACACAAAATGATTTATACTTGGATTTAAACTGACTCCAGTGTAATGAGTTTAAGTTACACGAGTTTAAATTTTACAGATCAATATGAAACCCAATAAACCCTTAGACATTTCCCTGCACTACATGCACATGGCTCTGATAGTGCAGCCAACTGGTTAGTGAAAACTAACCATGCATAAAAAATATCTGTTGAAGAGAGTCTTTGCATGGATGAAAAACACAGTTTTTACACAGATTTTAAGTGGCTCGACAGATCCAGGCTCAAATATCTCTACAATGACTGAATGGGTTACGCTGCACTAGATTTCTTTCCTAATTGTTTGGACCACTAACACTGAAAAGTGTGATATGTCCCCTGATGGGAAGACAGGAACTGCAGGTGTGGCCACAAAATGCCATTTCCACAAAAAAGGAAGGAGTACATTTTCATATTATAATTATATTTAAAATGGGTTTCTTTTTTTACAAAATAAAAAAAACAAACAATCAAACTAATCAAGTCTGGAGTGAATTTTTTATATTTTATGTCTCATGTTCAGAGTTTTTACTCAGGGCTGCAAGTATTGTACAGATTTCCAACTAGCATGGAGAAGTCTTAATTAACTGGTCATTATAGACAATCATGGTTAGCGATGAATAAACAAGGATCAACTCCTAAATCTAACTGACATCTACAGCAAGGTGACATTTTTGGTGCAGAGAACAATATCGTGGCAAAAATTACATTTCAAACCAGTATGAAAAATCTGATCAATATGCCCAATAATATGATTTATTACAATATATCCTTACTTGATTCTGTGCTTAGTGATAGAATGTTAGTATCGGGAGACAGTAAATTTTATAACCTGCTAATCAGTGTCCCTCAACATATAGCTTAAAGCAAAGCTGTATATCATTATAGTCCTGCAGGGTTGTTAGCATGGCTACAGATTGGCACCAAATATTAGAAATTAAGGAACACATTTGATTTTTAGTCCAGACAGTACTTGTAAAGGGTATTTACAGGTTCCGGCCTCTTAGATGTGAGGATCTGATTCTCTGCTCTATGCATCATCTGCACGCAAAACACAGAAAGAGTCCAAGTAGGGAAAAGAAAAGTGGCCAGCAGGGGGCGAGCTGTAGAAAGAAGTCAGAGTGCAAGTCCACAAGAAAGTTTTCCTCACTTGACTTATGACCTCATTAAACACTTTTCTGTTGGGTCTATGGCCTCAGTCACTACCTTAGCTTTAATTCACTTAACATGATGTCAATTTTGGTCCAATTTAGAGTAAAACAGACGACAAAGCATCCAAGCCTCATTTGTCACATCTGGTTTCCAAACACCAAGATGAAAATGGCCAGAACACTCTACTTAAAGCTCCACGATGACATCCACCTTTTATGTACAGTGTGTGCTTTTCCATCACGGTTATTGGGATACACAAGTTCTGGAATTCTGGCTGGAAAAAATACACAATCTCAGCTTTGATTTGAAATACTTAGATAAGCATGTGGACTAAATTATTTAGTTTTGAATTATAATTGAATAATAAATTCTTGTGTAATAAATGTAAGCAAAGAATACAACCAGTGCCAGCAGACCAGTGGCATCAGATTATAACAAACACATGCTGGTTTAACCACACAGAATGCACATGCTAGTGCTCATTTGAACACAACTCACACACATTTCCACTCTGACTTTCTGAATTCACACTGTGCCAGCATTCTTCGTGAGTGTATGCAATCTATGTGTGAGTTATTGCGCATATTTGCATTGTTCATTTCTGTACTATAGAGACACTGAATCGCATACTAAATAGGCCCGGCCTCAGTTTAGACAGTAGCCTGCGGGCACATATAAACACACACAGACATACACAAGCTAGGAGTGTCAGTAATAGAATACAAATTGGTACTTATAGAGAGGGGCACGAGATGGATTCAGGTAATTACAGCCTGAGTAAGACGTGGTGTACGTGTTTAATGTGCATGCACGTGTGAGAGAGCCTCAGCATGAGGTCTGTGCACCTGCTGCACTGTCCATAAAAGCTACTTGAATTACGCTGAAAGTGAACTTATTAAAGAAATGAAAAAAAAAATTGGACTATTGATCAGCATCACAATATTTTTTGCTGGAGTGTCTGTGCATGTGTTACTGTAGGGGAGCAAGATGGAGAGAAATAGAAAGAAAAATAGAAACAGACAAGCAGTAATAAGTGAGAAGCGCAGGCACATTCGATCGCATTTCTTTGGACAACCCTGTGAGTGTGCGCGCACGTGTGTCTGTGTGTGGTCTAAAGGTTCAGGTGTGATAGATGACCTGTGTTTCTGTCTTTCTGGCTGATGGAATTGAGCCTCAGAGCCTCTTCGTCATGCTGTGCTGGCTGTTAGAAATAAACTGCAGGTGTGATTCTCTGGTCAGCTAACACTGATAAAGGTCATCCACTTCCTCCTGAGCTGAACTTCAAGCCATTAATGTCTAATCAGTTTTCTCCTGCGTAAGAGTGTGTGTGTGTGTATGTGTGTTGTGTTAGGAGAGTGTGGACAGATACGGGGAAGGCGTGAACAATATTTCAGCATAAATAGGCACCAATTTAGAAGAAGGTCATGAAAAATATCTGCAGGCTGTGAACGGATCTTTGAGCACAAAGAATAATTACAATTGTAAATAAACCCTGGACCTGTTTTGTTTCTGTAACAAGAAGTGACAACTCAACAGGACGAGCCAACTCAGCGGCATCAGTCTGATACTGCCCTCTGTAGTCAAAATAGTCAAAGTGCAGTCTTTTTTGTAAGCCAGAAGTACACAAAGTGCCCATTTTATTAGGTGCACCTTGTTAATAGAAAGCTGATCCTGCTTTGACTTCCTTTAAAACTTCCTTAAGGCTTCATGACGCAGATTCAGTGAGCTGCTGGAAACACTTCTCATTCACATGGATCTCGAGTCTCAGACTGAGATATGCCAAGATGCAAGCCATGCTTTCATGCTGTTTACAGCTAATTCTGATCCCATCAACAGAATGTTGCAGCAGAAATCGACACCCATCAAACCGGGCACTATTTTTCCAATCTTCTCTTCCTGTTTTTGGGTAAGCATGTGTGAATGGTAACTTCAGTTTCCTGTTAGCGTTCTCTTATCTGACAGGAGCGGCACCCGGTGTGGTCTTCTGCTGCCGTAGCCCATCTGGTTCAAGGCTGTGAACTCTGAGATGCTCTTCTGTACATCCTGGTTCTGACAAGTAGTTATTTCGGTCACTGCTGCCTTCCTATCATCTCAAAGCAGACATGCCCTTCTCCTCTGACCTCTGGCATTCAACAAAGCATTTTTGCCCAGAGAATTACCGCTCGCTCGATATTTTCTCCTTTTTCTCAGACCAGCCTAGCTGGCACAAACAACCACATCACTTTCAAAGTCACTCAAATCACCTTTCTTTCCCATACTAATGCTCAATTTGAACTTCAACGGGTCATCTTGACCGTGTCTGAATGCCTGAGTAGCTGCCATGTGACTGGCCGATTCGATATTTGTATTAACAAGCAGCTGAACAATAACCAGTGAAGTGGCCTTGACAGTAAATGAAGATCTGCAGCACAGCTGGGCCCTGTGTGCAGTAAGATAAAACATCTTGAAGGACTAAATAAGAGCTGATAAGCCTGCAGAGAGAAATTCTTTTAGATAAACAGAGAGCCTGCCTGCAGTCAAACATTTATAGATGTGGCAGAAACATTTTACTCAGAGCCAAAATATTTTTCTATCGATTTTTAAGTCTTAATTTATTCTAGAGCAACACAGACATTATTGTAGGGACTGATTGCAATTCGGTCACTCCTGAAATTAAGACTTTCTGAGCCAGTGACCTCATACCAATCTTATCTGAAATTGCAACCATAAACTATCTAGTTTTTTTTTTCTTCGATTGGCAGATTTGCATTGACATTTGCACTTTTGTTTTATCTGTTTACTAAAACAGGAGAAAAAAAAGAACGAGTAAAACAGAAAGCAGGCCAGCACAAAGCAGCCAACTAAAGGGATATTTAGGGGCATAAATCAAACTCCAAAGACAGCAGGAGAAAAAGAAGTGCTGCAAAACCACTAAATTCTTGTATTTAAGAAACTGGAATAAGGCCCGGACATTTACTTTTGAGTTAACCATCATCATAGTCAAGTGTCAGTTAACAGAAAAGTAGAAATGCATTAGTAGTTTTTCTTTTTGGCATGGAGTTTTTCAGAACAACTTTAAACTCTGGTGTGAGAATATTTAATTACCAACGAGGTGTTCAATTGCAAACTACCTCAGTGCCCTTTTTTCCATTTTTGCCTGGCTCATTACTTCCCACAAAATGCATTTACATGAGCAGACCAAGAAAGGAGAGGCAAACACCACAACCAAAATGCACCACGCCTCTGTAATAGCCTAGTGGCGTACCTTGCTGGCTCGAGTCAGAGTGCCGTTGGGTCGATCTGGGCGCTCCTCATCGGACAGCCGCCCGCTACCGAAGCTGTCCATAGAGTGGGAGGAGATGGTGTGGCAGAGCTCCTCGAATGAGTAGTCCCTATCCCGGCACTTTTTGATCTCATGAAGCAGTTTGGACAGCTCGCTTGTCACAGCATCATCTGAGGAGGATGTAAGAAATGTGATTAGTATCTGTGAAGCCAGTTATTCTCATACCGGGTACGCCAGCAAATATATTTTATCACCAAAACAACAAAGAAAAAAAGGTGGAAGAAAATTTTTTTATATGCCTGTCTGATTTATTGTGAGATTAACCTGTTTGGCAGACACAAAACTCCTCCCCCGTCTGCTTCCTGCTTTGCTTTTGTGTCGCATTAAGGCACACTGTGCTAATCACTTCCTCCCGCTTCCCTCCACGACTCTCTAGGTAATCAAGGTAATTATGGGATCTGCTGACAATCACTGAGAGGAGAGCAGATCAGCACACACTCAGCAGGTTGCAATGTCATATTTGTAACACAGGGGGCAGTGCTGGACAAGGTAAGTGTGGAGTGGCAGTGACTGTTATTCTCCACTAAAGGAGCTGCTCTCCATGGCTTTATTCAGCCCATATTGCAAAAAGTAAACAATAGTTCCAATCAAGTTTAGTGGCGTTGTTCTTAGAGTAAACTGGACACATGCATTTGGATGATGGACTGGTCTGTAATGTTCCCTTATATATAAATAAATGCTTTATATAAATGCCTTTGTAGTTGTTTGGGTATATTACTAAACATATTGTAAGCCTTTGTGCAGAATGCATAAAGGAATGTGCTACATAGGTTGTTATTTGTTGTTATGTCATCTGTCTACACCCAGTTTCTGTCTTTATTTCTACCACTTCCTCTTTTTAGAACTAAAAAAAGCTGTATTTAGTCACCTCAGAGCTCACAGTCCAGTACTTCAGTTGTATTGTGTCACATGAGTCTGTCTTCATACTTACTCTTGTGTCTCAGTGAAGGGGACGCGGAAGGCGAGGGAACAGAAGTTCGAGGTGTAGGGACAGGACACGTGCGGACAGGCTCCTCCAGGATGCTCAGCTTCTCCATCTCATCCATCATATATTCTACAGACACGTGGAAACAGCGGAGAATTAAGAAGATGGACGATGAAGGAGACAAGATGAAAGCAATGTGAATTAAGGGGAAAGTGAAAATATGCCAGGAAGACGGGAATAATGAGCAGAAAGGGCACAGAGTGGAGGAAGTTTGGAGAGTGATCGAGGAGGGAGAGCGAGAGAGAAAAAAATCATTTCAGAGGCATTTTACCGGATCAATATAATAGCACAGCCATCAGTATTGTAAACAGCTTGAACTGCATTCAATTCACACTTTTCCCCGCACCGCAAATTCACTTCACAGCTTCTGCTAATAAAGCAATCTGCTGTTCATGAAGGTAAAACAGAACAAATTATGTGGCTAGGGAAGGAAAGAGGAAGAGGAGGGGAGAAAAGGGTTCAGGTGAAGGGCCAGAAACAAAGTTCAACACTTGCTTAACTCAGGCAAAGCACACGAATACACTTGCAGACAGAAATTAGGTGGCAAATTCCCTGCAGAGTCCTAATGAGGGAGCCGGTTAATGTCAGGAGGAGTGTTTGTGCATGTGGGTACATTTTCATTATTATGAATAGTGGCATTCAGCTCAGTAGTTATGACGAACAACCACATTTGCATACAACTACACTTAGTACTGGAATTTGTATCCGACTCAAAAAGAAAGACGAAATGCTTCGACAGATTTATTAAGTTCCATAAACAGCAGAGAACATAAAGTGCAGCGTCTTTATAAAATAATAAAATAATCCACTGAACTGTAGTACACAAGCAGTTGCTGATGGGCAGTACAAAATGAACTTGTTAATTCAAACAGTCGGATGAATCGTGTGCTGTGAAACAAATGAGATTCTATTCATAACGAGGTGCCTACGGCAACCAGAAAGCCTCTCGACTGGTACAATTGAGTAAATGACAAGTATTCTGCTCTTTGCGTCTCTGTCTGTGCGTGCGTGTGTGTGTGCTTTTCCATCTCCTCTCCAACAGGAAATGGCATGCAGCTGATCTTTTCACTGAGTCACAGCTGCGTCCTTTCCCTCTCTCTCTCACACATTCACTCTCCAATTTATGCTGAAGTCCAAATCTCTGTTTGCACTTCTAATTTAGAGAGACAAGCTTTTCACGGCTGTCATTTCTGACCAATATGCACAATGACATGAATTTTTGACTTTTAAAAAGCTACGTTCATTTCATAAACATATTTTCTAGCCTCACTTGTGTGCATATTAACAAATATTCCCCCAAACTGTGATTCTATATGCACAGCTCGGGATGTGAACAGCTAAGGATGCCGAATTAAGTCCAGACAGCTGCACTGTATTGACATCTTCAACCCCAGTTATCCACATAATCACTCTTCATTCTTGTAAATACAAGTGTGTAAACAAGCAAATCCACAGAACTGTATTGTAAACTCTATCCATTCTCTTCTGCTTTTCCAAATTAGGGTCGCAGAAGTTATTTTAAACTGTAGAGGAAATCCCAAATATACCAAATAAAGCTAAATGTTAGGAGTAGGTGTACAAAACAAGGAGCAAGAATCTAGTAGGTGGTGCTGCGACAGAGGCTATACGGCATTTGGTTAGCATACACTGACTGGTGAGTTACATATATCACTTTTCTGTCATTTAACTGTTCAATGATGTTGGTTTAAAATGAATGTCAATGTAGGAGGTCTGTATCAGAGGGAAAAGCTGAAAAACGTTTGAAAGTCCAAAATGTATGTCCTTCACATTTTCTAAAGGATTCTGGCCACCAGGCCTGGTGTTCGACTGTCTTGAATCTGAAGTCAATAACATGAACATCCTGTCTTGGATCAAAAATTCAAGCTGGTGCTGGTGTTATGATGGGGGGTCCAACTGGGCATTGTTTCAATTCAAATTCTTTATTGTCCCAAAAGGGAAATTAGTTTAGCAACAGGATAAAAGTAAACAAAAAATAATATAAAATGACAATAATAGTAGTAGAAAATCCCAGAACAGTTATATGGCATTTAGGAGACAGGATGCAGTAGGGATAAAAGAAGTCTGGAGTCTTTTGGTCTTCCTCAGAGGTACCCTAAAACAGCGGCCGGAAGGCAACAACTCAAACTCACTGTGAAGTGGATGGTTTGAACAATTAACAATAGAATGAGCCTTTCTAAGCACATTTTTATTGTAAATGGCCAAAAGTCCATCTTACCAGCGCCCTGAAATTTTGCTAGCAGTTTTTACCAAAAGACCCAACCTCTTCTTATTCTTCAACCGTCAGGTTACCAAACCAGGCAGCGATACAAAAAGACATCACAGATTTGATAAAACTTCTATAAAACAAAGACAACATCTCAGATGAGACATTAAAAGATCTCATTTTCCTTAAAAACAACAGTCTTTATTGAACTTTTTTAGTAATGGCATCAGCATGAGATCCAAAACACAGTTTATGGTCAAGTACCACACCTAGATATTTGAAACTCTCAACAATCCCAATATCAGCAGTTTTAACGATAGTGGGTGATGAGCTATAAGACTAAGAGGACTTCCTAAAATCAATAATCATGTCTTTAGTTTTTGACACATTTAGTGAAAGGAAGGAGTCATCACACCAATCCACAAAATCATGTTTAAACACCACAGCCTTGAGTATTGTTGCTGACCATGTCCATTCCTTTAGGACACAGTTTACCAATCTTTTAATGGCTGTTTCTAACAGGGTAACTCATCATTTCACAAACTCAAATCATATCAAACTGGTTTCTGGAACATGCACTCAAATGTTCACCGTACTCAAAGGGCCTCCGCCGTCACCAGATCGCAATCCAATAGAGAACCTTTGGGATGTAGTGGAACAGAGCAATATTGAATCTATGCCTCGAAAAATTCAGTAAGTGCTGAAGGCAAAAAGCAGGTGTAACCCACTACTTCTGAGGTGTACCTAATAAAGTGCTGAGTGTACATCGTGTAGTTTCAATAAAGGGCTTGAACAGAGTCCAATTCTGTTATGTAGCGGAGACGCAGACCATCTCTAAAGCTCACTGCTCTTCATTAGCAAAAAACAAATTACTCAGAAGTTTTAGATGCTGGGTTTGGGGGCCGCTTTATGAACTGAAGAAGAGAATTTTAGCCCATTGTTCACTATACCTTTAGCTGGTTAAGCCTCCAGAGGTAAGCATGTGCTGTTTAACTCTGCTTGACTGATGAGAATCACAAAAGAGAACTAAAACTAAAAAGCATTTCGGGGAGCAACTAGCTATGTGAAATCATTTTTCAAGATGTGTGGGTAGGTTCTTCGCAACAACAAACCACTTCCACTTCACATATGTATCTCTGAAGCAAGTAGAAGGATAATAAAGCAACAACTACATGTTAAGGTTTAAAACACAAGACAAATATAGACAATTTTCCCCGATTTTGTTATTTGTTTACGCCTTAAATTGTTGTCGTGCTAAACGTGAAATAGGAAACTTGAATCACTAATTACATCTAAATTGTTCTGCCCTTTGCATCGCTGTGCGTTCCCTGGTTTAATGTCAGCTTTCTGTCTGTTATTTTCTAACCGTGGACGATTTGTTACATTCCTGGGGCTCAGTCTCTGCTCCCCTTTCTATCTTTGTCTCCTAGTTAAGACTGTTTAGCGGTTAATTTAGGCTCTCCTCGTTCGCCTATCCCTCCAATCCTGTCTGTCTTTATCTCACTCTCTTTAAATCATGCGCAACAACACGCCTAACGTACACCCACAGACTACACAATGACAGATAGCGAAGGCCTCCAAGCCACAGATTAGAGCGTTCAAACTGAACCTCATAATCACTTCAGGATAAAACTGTCTTTAGAAGGTGCAATATGGAGAATCTTTGGGTCTGCGGGGACTGCGGCGCAAACTCACACAAACAAGCACTGGTTGCACACAAAACCCACTGCAGCAGGACAAGAGCAAAAACAGGGATCTTAATGGCAGGTGGAATAAAGTGAAGACACTGAAAATGACAATATGCTTTTTTCTTTTTGGGCCATAAATTACAGTATAGCTTGATATAACTGCAGTACTCCTCCAGCCACAATAATTTTGAAAACTCCTAAACATAGACTATAAACTGCGTATTAAAAACATTAATATTACCTTGACTTCACCCATTTGCAATTCCTGAGTTTAGTGTTATCACAGAAGCAGTTGCCATATTTAGAGAAGTGTATAGGTGTATTGCATATTCATCACTCTCCACCATTTGCACTTAGAACTGAAGAAGCTTCTCGGATGAGGGGTGAAAGGTTTTCACGAAACTTAAAGAAGTCCAAACGTTTTTCTTTCCAAGCTCCTTAGACTACTATGACGTGGATGACTGAGAACCTTCAGTTACATGTTTCAGATCAAAGACATTTTTGTATTAGACAAAGATAACCTGAGTAAATTGGTTATCTTTGTCCAGCATGGACAGCATGTCAAATCACCTTATTGGGATCAGTTCGGACTTTGCAAAGGCAATTCCAAAACCGTCTTCAGGACATGAACTGGTGGCTGGATTTTCTCCTTTATGAGTATAATTCATGGTTCCATCGATTATAGCAAGTCGCCCTGAAGCAGCCCTGAATCATCACACTACTGCCACCGTGTTTGACTATTGGTGTGATGTTCTTTATATGAAATGTTGCGTCAGCTTTATGCCAAATGTAACGGGACCCAAACCTTCCTAAATGTTCAACTTTTGTCTCATTGGTCCACTGTCTGGCAGTAATTGGGCCACTTATTTAATGATTTAACAAGGGTTACTTCGGTTATCTTTATTCAATATTAAAATTTGTCTGATGATCTGAAACGTGAAAAAAAGTATGAAAGTATGAAAAATAGTATAAATCTGATAGGGAGCAGATGCTTTTTCCTAGCACTCCCACTTTTATTTTGAAACTATCAAAGGCAGAGTACACCAAGGACAGATCATCGACCACATCAGCCACCATAAATATGCATTTCTTGTATTTCTTAGGACGGAAACTACAGCACAAGGGCAAAAAGTCCACAAAGAAAGGCATCATTTACTTCACTCATCATAGCTCGTGGTTCTAAACTTCACAAGAGTAGAAACTCTTGTCAGAGCAGATAATTTTTTAACTCATCAAAGCAAGAAAAGCAAAAATGAAACTGATGCCTGGGATGATTGTTGCATTCCAGTTAGCTGAGCCTTTTCCAAATTCAACCATCATTAAGGATTTTAACAAGGGATTTTCCTGCTTTGACAAGTTGGGATGTTTGAAACTACTATTAAATAGCAAAGCAACAAAATCCAATATGAAGATGTAAGTCTGACCTTTTATGGCATGCCAAGGTCTTGCTGCTCCTTCACAATGTGTGTCGATATTAGTGTTCATTTATACACTGCTGGAGAACATCTATTATAAGGGTTCTTAAGTGGTTTAGATATGGACTTTATTGCACAGTAGTCATCAGAAATACCATAGTGCTATTTATCCACTGAAACTTCCAGAATCTTATGATAACAATCTTATTTAAAATCCAGCTAAACCAGTGAGACAAAGAAAATAAGTCAAGGCTAACAGTAACAGTGCATTCAAACTAAACACATACAGGAGCTTCCATTGTCGCTGGTGAACTGTTAAATCTTTCTTTTTGTTGTTATATATTTAGTGAACTTATGTAAGATTCTTACACCTGAAATGCCCCACTTTCTCAATTCATCTAAATCAAAAGTGTGTGCGTCTTTACCTTGGATGAGAGCAGTGATCTGCTGGGATTTTGGTGCGGGATGATCCCTCAGAATCTCCAGAGCCGTTCTTCCTTGGCTGTCTCTTAGATTGGTGTCGATCCCTGACACACAAACACACCCAAGAAAACGTGCATAAAATACAAGAAAAAGAGGGGGAAAAGTCAACACCCATTACTTAGTCTAACAATACAGGACCTACTCAGGCTTGCTCATGATAATTCACCTTCACCGCAGATACACAGAACTAAACACATTCAAGCGCAGTATACAAAAATAAATATGAAGTCAGATCTGTAAACACACCACTCAGTCAGAAACACCAGGGAGCATTTTTTCCAAGATTATAACCCAAATGTTTTGTAGATGAATACAAATTAGTCTCACACATACACATTCTTGCAATGCTAAGTCACAATCTCAGACAATGACACATAAAAAGACTGCATTCAAAGACTGATGCACAATATCAAATAGGCCATATGTGAAAATAAATGTCGTTCCAATCGTTCTGCTGGGTACCATCAGAAATGTATCAAACTGTAATAAAAGGACATTTACACCTAAGTTGGCATTTCAGGTTTTTATTTTCCCTCCTTTTTCCTCCTTATTTCTCATGTGGTTTGTACATTTATAAATGAAGTCTGTAATGTGATTAGTGCTTCAAGGAACTGTAGATGTAAAAAACAGCTTCCCTGGCTTTTTTATTTATCGAAAATAACAAATGTGTTTAAAAGAAAAATGTATTATAATAATAACGGCTTGTTGTTTAATGCTCTTCATGTCCCAGAGTTGTGCTAAACTTAGCTTACTGTTTAGTAGCATTCAGTTTTTATTTAGTTGTTCTTAACTTTCTATTTTTAGCCTTTTTAGCCTTTATTTGAGCGGTCAGTAAATAGCAGACCAGAAAGTAGCAGACACTCTAATGACTGGAAGCTCAGACATTGCAATGCTCAGAGAAATTACAGAAATAACCACATTTACCTACTCAACTTGAATGTCACATGATCCTTTTCTGTGATACTAAAGGTTATTTCTTTGGTCAAAAAATGACTGATGCTTACTTGATAAAGCAGTTACACCAACAAGCCATTCTCTACGCGTAGGCATTGAGGCCCATCCTACACCTCTACAGTAAACCCACCTACCGACAGGCAATATTTTTAGCTATATCGGGTTAGAGCTCAGTGACTCTGACAAGTACAGCCCTGCTTTGATCCAGGATGTTAATAAAATCAAGGCAAAAGGAACATGGCCACCCAGAGGAAATCCTGTAGGAAACAGGAAGTGCTGAAGGAAAGTAGGTGGAGGATGGCAATGATGTCAAAAGGACAACAGTGTCCAGGCTGTTTTAGTAAAAGTATTAACTATACCCACATGACTTCGAGCTACTAGTTAAGACAGGAGCTGTTCTACCTTCGGGAATCTTTTTCAGTCATTGCATAAGATGACATAAGACAACACATCCTAATTATGCAGTTGCAGAGAAACTGGCCAAAACAATAAAGCTTGAAGTGAGGAAGAATTTAGCAAACAGATGTTTGGAGTTCACCTGAGGGCAAACTGACTCACAATTTAGGGAAGGAGAGGGAAAACACAACAAAACAAAATTCCAAACATCTAGCCACAGGTTGAAAAAAAAAAAAAGAGGGAGAAACAAGGGAAACACACATATAAAGAAACACGCACAGTTTTTGTTTAGCCGGGGTATATTTATAGACCCACCTGAGTCAAGCAGAAGGCGAACAACATCCATCTTCCCAAAGAGAGCTGCCTCATGGAGGGCACTGCCATTCTCGGTCTACAAGAGACAGAGATAGCATTTGTGTATTAATATTAAGTCACTTTAACAATTCAAAGTGGAGACAAAAATAGACATCAAAACCAGAAAGCACAAGAGGCGTTACAAAAAAAATAAAAGGGAACTGGGATTAAAAGGGAGCAAAAAGGCAATATTTTGATTTGATACAATCTTTTTTTTCCCCCCCTCGCTGGCAGTTAAATGAAAGAGATTCAGAGAGATTAAAACAAGTTACATTCCCTCGCCTCCAAACAGTGCGAGGCCACAGCGATTTCAAACCATTACACAAGCAGCAGGCGCCTGTGTGGAAACGTCCCACTTTCACCTCACCCTATGCTGGCCCGTATCAGCCTCCAGTCCAACTAATAGAGATATTACAGATATGATGCAACACACTGAAACCAGCACGGGGATGGTGCCAGTAAGTGTCTCATCCCGTATCAGCAGTGATGAGAGAGACGATTATTCTGACAAGGATACATTTAAAAAGTCCAACAACATAAAGAACAGCTGTTTAATCACACAGCCTGAGGGTGAACAGGACCAAAATAGCTAGACTTAAAGGTGTAGAATTTTTATGTTACAGCATCCTTTGCTGATGCTAATGACTGATATCCTAGGATGTGGAAACACACACATCGGAATGTTTTCCATACCAGCGGGCAGAGTAAGCAGAGTAAGCAGAGTAAGCAGCTTAAGAACAAACAGCCTCCAAACAGTTCCATCGAGCACTTAAAGCCTCCTCCACTAATGCTCCACCCCACAGCCAACAAGACCCAATATTCACTATCAACATGCCAGACACTAGAGTACATCCACACAGGGTCTTTTTATAACAGATTCCCTTCCTGACAAAACCCAACAGATTTTTTTATTTAACTAAAGTCAAATCTATTTTAAATAACCTAAAGTTTAAATTTATTGGAGGGCCAGTATTGGGCCGATATTATTGGCCAATATTTGGTACTTGTTAATATATCAGTAATGGCATTTATTAAGGCACTCTGCTGTTGAAAACACACGTACAGTACAACTAGCTCCATCCTCCATGCTTCTCATGAAAAAGCGACAAATTGTCAGTGCTTGGGAGGAAGCGAAGCGTGGCTATATGTGGACAAGTTTTACATTTGATATCAAGGAAAACAGGATGCTTTGTAAACCACGTTGAGCAACTCTCAAGGGTAATAAAACAACAACCTTTTACATTTTATTCTACTATAATCTTATAATATTTAGTCTAAATTCTAACTAAAACGAAATAACTTTTTAGTCAAAGGACTATGACTAAAAAGTCAGATCTATAAATTGTCCTAAAAAAGGTCCTACGTTGGTCGGACTCTACCAAATAGCGCGCAGTGAATTTGTCCACTGTATTTCTGCTTCAGTCAATTGTTTCCATACAATCAGAATAATTAGCAAAAATAAGCTACAAAAATAGATCAGGTCAATAGGTAGGGATGCTATTACTATGTTCATCATCATTCAGCTACTTGAGACTCACGTCCTGCAGTCCAGTTGACTCATTCTGCACTTGAGATGAGCAGCAAGCTGGAGGGCCACTCCAACCAGAACCAACGGGAGGTAATGAACTGCTACTGCTATGCCTACCTCAGCAAGGACTATTAGGTGCAGCTGGGAAGACTTACACACACACACACACACACACACACACACACACACACACACACACCTAATAAAGCCAAAAACACAACGTATATATAAGGGAAACGCTGTTACTGCTATATAGCTTAACAGGACATCATGATCCTGAAGGTCTTTCTGGAACATTAAACATACTAATCTGCATGTTGCTGGAAGCAATAGAGCCCATCGAGGATACTAAGGACTTCAACATACACAAAGACACGTGTTTCACACTCGCAGCCACACACACACACACACACACACACACACACATGCTGAACACGTTGCATCCTTCATAGCTGGCTTCCTGACAACACAGATGAAACCCTGGACTGAATAGAAGTCCCAGCCGTAATGAAGACAAATTATCTGGACGACAGCCGACACTGCCAGGAAATTCTGCTCGACGCAACACTACACCACATCAGTGTGATCGTCTTCTGCAGGAATACTCAACTTTTTCCGTTTCCCCTGACACAAAGGTGTTATCGCCACAGAGAAGGGATTGATGGCAAAATGAAGCTATAACGCCATATGCGACAGCTCCTCTGTCTTTTGAAAGTTAAAAAGGTCAAAGGCCCAGATCCCTCGGAAAAAAACCCGCAGGTGTGAATCCAAAGTGGAAACAGACGAAATGTCAAATTTGTAGCGCCTGCGAGTTTATCACAATGTGGATGTCTCCCCTGCAAAACGAAATCTCTGCTGCCCTCATGCATGAAAGCAGAGGTTGTATCTCAGGAAGAGATCCACCCCCTATTCTAGTACACACATCTTGCCCTCCTGAACCTCCTTTACCACTTCCTGTCCTGTTTCCCATAGCGATTATGCAGTGATGTCATGAGGAAACAAGGAAGGCAGTTCTTACTCCGAGTTTCCTGGAATTGAAAGGCAGATGAATCGGTTTAACGACAGCACGCAGAAATGTAGCACTCACTGCTCATGATGGGACGACGAGGTAAATGTCTGAATGTGAATGCTCACATCATCCCTCTTACTTATGCTTGACAAAAAAAATAGGACTCTATATTAATCAAAACAGCTGCACTGCAGGCAATAATGACCTAAAGCATATTTTTGTGCAAGACAGTGTCGGAAATAGCAGTCAGCTGTGTTTGTGAACAAAGATGTGTGTATCTATACTAAACTTTTGCCTTGTGTTGGCTATAGGTCACTCAGTGGCACGTTCCTCCATACTGTAGGGATTTCCCCTCATTATTATGGGAACAGACAGAGGATGAAAGAGTGTGTGAGAGCAAGAGAAAAAGAGAGGAGAAAAGAGAGAAAGTGCGCTGTATGTATAAATTATTCATCCTCGCTCACACAGACCTATATGGCATGACTCCAATTACTGACCTGTACACACACACTCTCTCTTTTACACACACACACACACACACGCACACGCACACACACACACACACGCGCACACGCACACACACAATTTGCTTTCCATTCTTGGAATGCCATCTGTGAGTCACCCACAGCATCCACTCTGCACCGTCAACATTATAGTACAGTTCTGACAGTGCGGCCTTGCAGAAAATACAGAGAGAAAGAACGAGCGAGGCAAGAGGAGGGGAAATGGAGAAGAGCGGAAAGCAGGTGGGGAAAAGAGGACAACTCGACACTCGCTGTGTTTCTCACCTAAGTGGCATTAAAAAAGCCTTTGCTCTTCAGGGAAGCCATTAAGTCTGCTTGTTTACCTGATGTTATTGCAACTGAACATCAAATGCAAACAGCCACATGGGGCTTTTACAAAAGCATAAACTGTATATTAAAGGGAGTAAGGTCCGAAAAGTGTAGCCAATGCTGTGGAATCATTATTGCTATATCCATCTTTTACGTGCAGTCTATGAGTAAAACCAGGAGAGTCCAATTACCGTGCAACACGGAGATTAAATGAAAACCCAATTTAACAGAAATGCCTACCATTACAGTCGAGCAGTGTTTGACCCCTGTTCCAGGTCAGGTGACATGTGTAGGCTCACTCTAATTGACTATCAAGTTTAACCAACCAAAGAGCCAATTTTACTCGCCAAGTGTGCAACAGCTACTCTCATCCAACGTATGATAATGATAGCTAATAGAGCAAAAGAGAACTCGATGCCTCTATGCATTATTTTCAGCAACAGACACGAGCGGAGCAAAAGTCAAGGGTAAACTGAGGAGACGATTTGAGATATCAGACTTGCAGCGCTCTTGATCAGTAGGTAGAGAGGAAAAGTAAGAAAAGGGGAGAGCGGAGGATTTGCAGACGTGTGAAGAGAGATGAGGCAAATCAAAGGCGTGTAGTGTTCATCTGCTCTAGACACATGGAGCCTCAGGCCAAATCCCTGCAGAGAAACACAGCCCTGCTCTTCAGATCTGAGCAGGCATGCACACATTCGGGCATAAACAGACACCGCAGCGTGTAACAAGGACAGAAGGCAGAGAAGATAGGTGCAGTGCCACTGAGTCATGCATATCCTCACTGTGAGAGCCTCACAGTGATTCTCATATCCAAGAGGTCAAACTGTTTTCATCCTTCCAGATATGGAATCCACACAGACACACATCCACGTCCGTGCCCATCAAATTCTTCTTTGCTACACATTCTAATGGATGCTGTCACAGTACGGCAAAAAAGCTCATATTTGTCTTGTAGTCGCAGACCCTCCTCCATCCACATGCTATTTATACTGTATATAAACTGTACTTTACACAGCCAAAAAAAAAAGGGGGAGAACGTAGCATCTGTTACGCCATATGTCTCAGCAGTGAATGATAATAGAGTCAGATCAGATTTTGGCACCAGCAGAAGTTAACTTCTAGAGTCTCTCAGATCCACATAGCAACAGCTACACGTTTTAGATCCATAAAAGCTTCTGGGGCACTGAAGGAAATTTCCTATAAAGGCTTTGAAGGATTGTTTTGTCGCATGTGTGTACAAACTCTGATCGATCCCTGTTTCTATAGCTTCTAAGCAGAAATGTCCCTTGATTAAGAATCAGCAGCTTTAGGGGGCTTTAGATTCTGACTGAGCTCTGAAATTCCTGGAGCTGCTTTTCGGCTTCGATTCTTCAATCCAACAAAACCAACTCCAGTAAAGAAGCGTGAAACAACAACGTCCGACACTGTAAAACAGAATTTTGAGCCTTTTTAAATAAAAACTTTCAGTTTTATCGTTGCAATTATTTAGTAAATCAGCATTTCTTTTTCATGTATAGATGTATTATTGAAATTGTGCATTTCTTTCTTATTTTAAGACACCTCAGGGATTAAATGTGTAGTTACTGATACTGACAGAAAAGTGGCATTTCACTAGTACAGCCTACATAAGATCAAAGTGGGCTCTATATGCCATTTAATGTAAAATGAATTTCACATAGCTGTTTAGACCTCTGTCTTGTTTAAAAGCTCGTACCTGGACATTGTTTGCAGTGAAGTAATGTTTCTGGTGAAAATGTTGAATTAAAAAAAAGTTAATTTGTTTAATAAAATATAGAAATACAAAATATGGACTTAAAAGTGGCTAATCCCAGTAAATTATATCCATACAGTGTCTGACGTTTATCTCCGATCAGGTGATATTGGCAGCAGAATAAGCATCAGTACTCCTCCTCAGGCATCCAAAGACCTCCATGCCATTTAAGATACAGCGCATGCAGTAAGTTCTGGGTCTACCCTGGGGTCTCTTAACAGCTGGCCACACCTGGAAAGACTCCAAAAGGTACTCAAGAGGCCTCCTGAGCTGCTGCCCGAACCACCTCAGCTGGCTCCTTTCCATACAAAAGAGCAACTCCTGGTTAGTGTAATCTCTGCCAAAAATCTCATAAGCCTTGTTCTAAACTACAAATTGTAAAAGGGAAATGAACTTTAGCTGCAAAGTATGCGTAATCTCATTCTTTTAGTCATCCATAAGCTTGGAACATAGAATAAGTCGTAAATCCTAAGCCTTGTCTTCAGTCCAAATTCTCTCATCAAAAAACAATCCAATTAATGCTGACTTTGCAGGACTTCAGAACAAATACAGCTGTTTACCAGCTGTTTTAATGAATAATGAATTTAACCTGGTTCTAAACTACACAACTTCTGTCACAATGGCTTGCACATTAGACACCAAAACCCCCAAGCCAGCATATAATGAGTTATGACCTTATAACAAGCTGTGAGATGTGAAAAGTATCTATAGTTGGTCAGCAGGTAGCTGCAGCAGTTAGCACTGTTGCCACATGAGAACAGCTGACAGCTGGGACAGGCTCTTGGATAAGTAGTTAAGATGCATGGATCTATAGTTGGACAATGAATGAACAAACAATCACAAGCGGTTTTATATTTTGAAATAATAGCGCCATTATTGGTACACATTGATGATCTGCCCAGATAAAAAACGAATAAGCCCACTAAGCCAATGATCAGCTGTGATGTTCTTCTGTGCCGGGTCAAAATAAAGCTTGTGGTGTGAGCAATCCAGTAATAAGTCCAAAGAGACCCGTTAACACAGTAAAGGGCTATATTTCTACATTTAAGACAAGTGATCAAAGTCAAACAGTTCAGCTCTTCTCCAGAGAAAGACAACAGTGCTCAAGAAATCAGCAAAGCGTGGCTGCATTTTGACAAGACTTCACAAAAGCAAATGGTCCAGAAAGGGTCGGGACTAAGTTGTATTTGAATCGCCCAGACAACTCAGAATACACAAAAAGACAAAATATAAAGGTGAGAAGAGCGGAGAGGTCCAAACATCGCATCAGAAACCGAGCAGTAATGAAGTTCCACATATTGTAACCGACACCGCGTTTCCCTTTCCTCTAATGAAAATATAAAGAGGTGTGTAAAAGGAGGGCCCTCTCTGGAACACCCTGTCCTCTTTCTTCTTCTTTCTTTCGCTCTTACAGTCTGTTCTCCCAATTAATTATACATCCTTCCCCACCACCAAACCATAGGACCCATGTAACACATAAATATACATACAGTATATGCTCTCTGATCAGATGAAGGAAGCACATAGATTCAAAAGAAGAATTCGGGAGATTAAGTTTAAAAAGGAATGTGGTGGTGCCTTCTTACCACGCAGTTTACGTCCATGCCGGCCTCAAGCAGAGTCTGGATGGTGCTGTGGTGTCCGTTGCGGGCAGCCAGGTGAAGCGGAGTGTGTAGCCGAGTGTGACTGGTCATGAGATTGGGGTGGGCACTCACCAACATGCGCACCACCTGCCCACAAAAAACACAGCCACACGTTAATGACAAAAACAGCAAACATATAAATACTAGGCCGCTTGTCACCTTCTTACACCTGCTAAAAGCTAAATTGCACCAAACACGAATTTCAAAGTGAAGGTCAAAGGAAGGCCTTGCTTCATTTTGTAGCCATGTTAGCAGGATTAAAATCCAGAGCAGCCTCCTTGGACCTTTTATTAATAAATAAAGCAATTATATTATTTGTCATCCGGAATTAGCGCACATCGGGCTTGTGTGGTTGGGTGTGGTCATTTAAAACAAGGCTTTGCATATCACAGCACATACAGGTCTTTTCTCTGTAAACCCTACAGATGATTGAGTGGGAAAATCGCAGTAGATCACTAGTTTGTGAAATATTAATAGACCCAGTCTGCAGAAACACTCATGCCCCATCTAATCATGCACCTTGGTTTCACATCATCCACTCGTCATTGGATCATCAACTGGAGAGGATGCTTGACGATGAGTTAGTGATGCTGTCCAGAACAAGCCTATGACTTAAAGTGTGATAATACTTTCCAAAAGGTTGATTCTGTTCATCTGGACGTAGCGTTTTGTGGGAGAAATGTTTCGTCACTCATCCAAGTGACTTCTTCAGTCTCAGCTGACTGCAGGTTTCCCCAACCTTATAAACAGTACATTTGCATAATGACTGAAACCAGCCCACTGAAGGAACAATGGGCTGGGAGGTCAGTTCCTTAATCTTAATTATGCAAATTCTCATGACCATTGATCAACAACCGCTGACCAAAACCCACTGATCAAAGACCACTGATCAATGGTCATGAGTGCCATTCACAGACAGTTGGGGAATGGCAGCAACCACAGCATTGTAAGATGGTGAAAGATGTACCCTTAGGCCCCCTCCTCGATTCAGAGATGGCCTTTCCCTTTTCACGTAAATGGCCTCATTGACTCTGCTCTCAAACCAGCGTTCCTCCCTGCCCAGGTTGTGTACATCCTCATGCTTGAAAGAGTGTCCACTGGCCTGTAGGTGTAAATAGACTGCAGAGTCCTGGCCTGACGAGGTAGCTCTTCTGTGTTGTGCCATCCGCTTCGCCAGAGGTTGTTTGGTTTCCCCGATGTATAAATCCTATCAATCCTCCTGGCACTTAACAGCGTACACCAGGGGTAGGCAACTCCAGGCCTCGAGTGCCGGTGTCCTGGAGGTTTTAGATGGGTCCATGATCCATCACAGCTGATTTAAAGGGCTAAATGACTCCTCAGCATTTCTTGAAGTTCTCCAGAGGCCTGGTAATGAACTAATCATTTGATTCAGGTGTGTACCCAGGGTGCAGATCTAAAACCTGCAGGACACCGGCACTCGAGGCCTGGAGTTGCCTACCCCTCAACGGGGGGGGGGGGGGGGCTGGGGGGGGGGTGGGGGGGGGGGGGGTTAATCACTACTTGTTACTCTGTTTGTGTCGGGGGACCCGATCCTTGGGGTGGACCAATTTTTGGCGCAGCGTGTTTTGGGGTTTAAAAGCCACAGAGACCCGGTGTTTAGAAAAAATGCGTCTCAACTGCTCCGATACTCCTGACACATATGGGATCACTACAGGTTTTCGCTTGGGCAGCGGTTGTCCTTCTCTCCTGGATCGGCTGGAGCTTTCTTTAGGTGCCTTTCCAGCTTTGACAAAAGTCCAGCTGGGATAACCACATTTACTCAGGGCCTTCTTGATGTGCCGTTCTTCTGCTTCCCTGGCCGCTGTGTCAGTGGGGATGGTGTTCGCTCTGTGTTGTAGCGTCCTGATGACACCCAGTTTGTGCTCCAGTGGATGATGAGAGTCAAACCTTAAATACTGATCCATATGCGTAGGTTTACGGTACACGTCAGCTTTTAGTGGTTGTTGATCAATGGTCATGAGAATTTGCATAATTAAGATTAAGGAATGGACCTCCCAGCCCATTGTTCCTTCAGTGGGCTGGTTTCAGTTATATGCAAATGTACTGTTTATAAGGTTGGGGAAACCTGCAGTCAGCTGAGACTGAAGAAGTCACTTGGATGAGTGACGAAACATTTCTCCCACAAAACGCTACGTCCAGATGAACAGAATCAACTTTTTGGAGATTTACTTTCCTGGATGATTGAGAATGCATCAAGATGTGATAATACTTGTACTTTGGATTGCTTTACAAGTTTCTTCATTTAAACAAGGCACAAATTTAAAATGTCCTATTAGTTGTTTAAACCTGCTACCAGCAGCTGTCATTTTACAGGACAAAATCAACAGTCCAGAAATGAGAAGTCTGCTTTAGTATCACCAAACTTTCTGTAAAATTTCTTTGCAAAATTCAAAATCATAAATTCAAACTTGCAGTTCCTGATCTGCTTGACTAAGTGGGATGCTAAGTAAACACTGAAGATGGATTATCAGCAGGTATTTTTACCTTTTTCAACCAATCGTGAAAGAAAATATCCTTTAAAACTCCTGTCAAAAACGCCAATATATCTGTGGTAAGAGGCTCCTGTGCTTTTAACTGATAGTGAATGACGTTTGTTTAATAACTCAGCTCGCCAACAGGCGGTTCTCTCGAAAGCTTCCTCCCTTTAATGTGCATCTTTGCGCGCGCGTGTGCGTGCACGTGTCGTAAACTTTTGCCCTGTGTTAGTTACATCTCCATGCAGCAGGAGCTTCCACCACAGGGATTTCCCCTCATTATTATGCAGAGAAAGGAGAGGAGAGAGAACTACCGTACTGCCTTTATAAATTATTCATTCACTCAGACAAACCTGTATGGCTTGACTGCAATTACTCACCACCTTAGCAGAAAGAATGTGTGATTGCATTTGAACATCAGCAGGCACACGCCTCTGTGTGGGATTGTGCTCGCATGTGCACGCTTTTTGTCACATTTTTGTCACACTTCTTTGTGTCTGCCTTTCTGTGGAGTAAAGGCAGTATTTGAGGGTTTTTTCCCCCAACACATATGTATCAGTTAAATTGAATTAGCAGTAGAGGTATGGAAGGTCTGATTCCTTTGCCCTGTTAATTCTTCACCTGCTGCTTCACTTTACCGGCCAGTGAGGAGCTTGGACAGGATACACAGTGCACGAACAGGTTAAAATACGGTAAATCATCCACATACCAGCCTCCTAACCAGTAATCAACAAAAACATGACCTAGACTGAGAAACCAGTGTGTATCTTTGGGGGAGAGGATGCTCTTCAAAAATCTTTACAAGAACAAATACCTGCATTTAACCGCGCTTTCTTTTAATTACGATCTCTGCTGCCTTTTGAGCAAAGTACTCTGTAAATAAAACGCAGCTAATTTATTCTTCACCCCAAATTGCAGAGGATTTGTGCCTCCTGTCAGCTACATTAAAAGCTCAGCTAATTATATTTTTTTACCCATTTTGTCACTTTGAATTTTTTTTATTTTATTAATGTCGTTGGAGTTTCAATTCAATTTTAATTGCAAATTAAACTGATTAGGGAGCAGATGTTTGTATCACATTCTTATGCATGGAGTGCCACCTATGTCCTCTATATCGAGCGGCTTTTATGGAAATTAAAGCTTCTCCAATGTAGAAAAGGTCAAAACCTAAACAGGTTGAGGTATGTTTTTATATTTGTTTTGACTTCAAGGCGTTGCATGCTCATTATTCAGGAGAAGATGCATCCGTTAAGTAAATATTAAAGTGCTGGGAAATCAAGGTGATGACGTTTTAACCATTTATGTCTATATTTTATAGACGCACCTATATACACACATATGTGTATACACACACACACACACACAACAACACACACGTAGGAACACACACACTGTATACACACACACACACACACACACACACACGATATATACAACGTTACACACACACACACACACACACGTGTATACACACACACACACACACACACACACACACACACACACACACACACACACACACACATATATATACAATTATTGCCTTCAGAACTGCAGTAACTCTTCAACGCAGAGATTCAACACGGTGAAGGAAACATTCCTTACCTCTGACATCAACAAGACATTTTAACCCAGAACTGCTGTTCACTAGATATTTTCTCCTTTGCTACACTGGAGGGGGGTTGTGTTGGAAAATCCCAGCCGATCAGCAGTTTCTGAAATACTCAGGCCAGCCCATCAGGCACCAACAACCATGTCACATTCAAAGACTTTAAAATCATTTCTGATGTTCAGTTTGAACTTCAGCAGGTCGTCTTGCTATGTGGCTAAAAGCACTGAGTTGACTTATTGGCTCAAACTAAAACTAAAAGATTCAAAGCAGTGCTTCCCTTCTCATTGATCAGATATTCTCACAGACCTGCAGTCGGCCGTACAGTGCTGCCAAGTCTAGAGGACTCTCCTGTCGGCTGTTTCTCATGGTGGGGTCAGTCAGCTCCTGCAGCAGTACTGAAACCACCTCAGAGTGTCCATACTGGGCTGCACAGTGGAGTGCAGTTTCCTTCTCGTGGTTCTGTGGAAGAACACGAAAAAAATGGATATTGAAAAGAGTGAAGTTGAGGGAAGGTGGGGGGTAGTGAACTTAGGAATTATTGGAATAATAAAGAGTCAGAGACACGAAGTGAAGTGAGGCACAGAAACATGGCAAGATCCAGGGAAGTGATGAGAAAGGTGATGAAATTTTGAGAGAGATAAGGTTAGGAAAATGGAATGTAAGTTTGATTGCAATATAAGATATAAGAAGGTGGTGATTTATAAGTAGGGCACATGTGGGTGAAACGATTGAGATATAAGGGAAGAGAGGAAGGAGGAGGGAGGAGCAGTTAGCTTTATTTATTGGCCCAGTGATATGGGGAAGCTACATTTCACTGCAGAGATTTCTGCTACACATATGAAACACATATCTCAAGTACTATATCATTCTGCATGTACAAATTCTAAAAGGCTATCGGGATTGAGAGACCTGCTAGGAGAAATCTATGGTGTCCTGTCTGTGTAACAGAAGCAACGGTAACTCACTGTGCCTTTCAGTGATTAAACGCATTATACGCTGTTATGTACTTGGATGTTTTTAGCTTTATATCACCTCACTGCCAATTAATCAAGCTCCACTGTTAATACACATTTTAAAAATCCTTAATGCATCACATTTCTCACCTCAAAACATTTACTTCTGTAAAATAATTTCTCAAAATGTTCCCTCAGTTAATTACACTTTGCCTCATCATGTATTTTGGCTATCAAATGTGATCTGATTAAAGTAGATGCAAATATGTAGGTAAGTGTTTTAAAAAGCATCTGGATTTGATTTGGATATGAAATAACTAAAATGGGGCCTCAGTTCATGTGCGCCGTTAGGATACATTCATTAGCACATTTGTTTGTCAGACGGCGTGCTCAGTTTTGCTGGGTGGTGGGGGTTCTTAGATAACACTGTGCAAGCTTTTTGTTTGTTTGTTTGTTTGTTCTGGATTCCTGAACATTCCTGTCAAGAGAGAGAAAGGCAATGTTTGGAATTCCAGTCTTGAATTGCTCCGATTGACTGGGTAGGAAACAACCGGCAAGGGCCCACCACAAGCCAGCAGCCTCGGGATGAGCAGTTACGAGAAATAATATATAAAAAGCATCAATGTCTCTTTTTCTGGTAAATTTATTATCGCACTGGAAAATGCATCTGACAGTAGCTGACATTTTGTTTTGGTATATAAGTCTGCTGCACCTGCTTTTGTTTGACAAGATTAAATATGTGAGGTAAAGGTGGGTGAACAGCAACTTACTGTTAGTTCAACATTTGTACCCCTTTCCAGTAGCAGATCACTGTTTACAGTTTAAGTCAGAGAAGATCCTGTAACTTACTGCAGATTGTGGGAAATTGTCAAGTTTAATCATCTCTGTTATGAAAACAATGGTTTGCATTGAAAAAAAAGTATTTCTATTCGGATATGCTGCGAAATCAGAATCAGGAAAAATAGTATCGGCAAATCACACACACAAAACAATGATAATTTGCTTTTATCTCAGTACAGCATACAAATGTATATATGTTTTGTCTACTTTTGCTTATCTTGACACTTTTGAATGTAACTGAATTTAAAAAAAAACGAAAAAAAAAAAAATTATATATATAATATATATATATATATATATATATATGTATATATATATTGTATTATATATATATATATATATGATATATATATATATATATATATATATATTAGGGGTGCAACGATATTCGTATCGATATTGAACCGTTCGATACAGTGCTTTCGGTTCGGTACGCATATGTATCGAACAATACAATTTAAAAAAAAATTTTTTTAATTTTTATTTTTTTTTTTTTTTTTTTTGTGTCCCGTTTGGATCTATAGCCATCAGAATTGTTGTCTTGAGGCCAAGAAAGATGCCAAGAGGATTTATTTTAAGTGGATCATCATATTGGTCCATTTGATTGACCTTTATTATAATTATGAATTTATTTTATTTTCAGTTGCAAACGGGACAGACATGACTGTGGGATAGGACAGGGGGAAAGAATGAAAGAAAGAGGGGGAGAGAAAGAAAGAAAACCAAAGGGGAGAAAAAAAAAAGAATACAAAATTTGTAATTTATTTTATCAACTTTCCTTCTGACGATGCTGTCTGTGTTGAGCGCTCAGTGAATCTGCATTTGACTACTCCGCCTAGGCTCGAGAGTGCAGCCTAGGCGGAGTAGTCGAACGCAGATTCACTGAGCACTCAACACAGCCATGGTCAGAAGGAAGAGCGCAGGGCAAGCTAGCGAGACAGAAGTGGACCTCCCCACCCTCATTCAGATCTGGCGTTTGGAATTATTTTGGTTTTCATGTGACGTATGACCCTGAAGGTAAGCGAGTCATGGACTAAAGTAAAACAGTATGTTGGATGTGCCATGCAATGCTCAATTACATGGGTGGGAGCTAGTGTGTTAGCGCAGTTAGCTCGTTAACGTGTTGGCCGTCTAGCCCCTCTGTATAGGGTAGCTCGTTAACGGAGATTTGCCGTGTTGTGGCGTTAAGGTTATTTCAACGAGATTAACGCTGACAGCACTAGTGGGAACACAACGAATATGACTGCACATTTACACCGACATCATCCTAGTGCAAAGACAAAAACAACAAGCATGCATGCTACAAACTTTAGCCGAGTCATTTAGACAGCTGTTAGCACAGGATTCTCCTTATGGAGACCTGATATGTTTAATATGCTGCTGAGAATATAGCCCAGAAGAAGCGGATAGTATAGCTTTTATTTTGGAAAGAGACATTTCTCTGTAATAAACTCTCTTTTCCAAAGATGAGTGATTCCTCAATCAGATACAGGGCTCGCAATATCGCTAGCCCGGGGCTAGCGATTTTTTTCAGTCGGGCTACCAAAATCTATCTCTTCCCTGCCTGTCGGGCTATTGTAGGAAGGAAAAATATATGTCAATGCTTTTGCATTCTTTCAGAAATGTAGCTGGGTAATTATGTCATTGGGTGAGCCACTGTCAATATGTGACATATTGAAATCGTGTTTGGATTTGCGCTTGTTTTTTTGCTTTCACTTTGCAATCGCGCGAACTGTGTATAGAGAGCGACAGCACTGATCTGTGAGTGATGATAATTTGTGCACCAATTCCTCTGACATCGTCTTATTAATTGTTAGCTTACTATGCAAACATGACAAGTGAAATCTCCCGCAGCTTAAACATGTGAGAGGTTGATCGCGCAGAGAATCGCTGAGCTTATGTGAGTGCGTGTGTAAAAGCAGCAGGATTTATATTTGACTACGATGACCTGGATGACTGAGAACCTTCACAGACAGATATATATTTTAGTTCTGCTGAGCCAAATAAGACAGGTCAGGGTGAAGAAGTGACAGCCAAAGAAAAGCTTACCACAAAACGGAGAAGTTATGACAAATCAGACTATAAGGCAAAAAGAAAGTGCAGCTTTATGGTTTCATGGACAAAGAATTTCTGTGGCTGCAATATGACGAGCTAAAAACGGCGCACAACACGACAAGGTTAGGGTTAAATTTAAAAACTGTACTTTTGAGTTAAAATATATATTTATAATTTTAATAAATGACAAATTAAAAAGGCATGAACATTTTTTTGTATCGAAAAAATATCGAACCGTGACACCAAAGTATCGAACCGAACCGTGAATTTTGTGTATCGTTGCACCCCTAATATATATATATATATCATATATGTATGTATATATATATATATTCAGTCACAGAAAATCTGCAATAAATAAATAGAGTGACATTACTATACTGTAAAACATTAGTATCATCAGTATGTCCTGTTGCCTGTTTACACGTTATTCAGATACCTGATTAAGTCTGGCTATTGTGTTATTTTTAGCTCAGGCTTGGGTATCAACGATTTGTGTTTTTGAAACTAAACCATAAAATATGGGTGCCATAAAACCAAAAAATAGAAAAAAAAAATAGAAAAGCAACTAAACATATGTAAAGTTCATCACTACAGGTGAGTCCTCACATGCAAACAGGCGTATATTCAAAATTTCAAGAGCTTCTATCTAGGAACTATGAAGGAAATCATATTGATTTATGATCCATTTGGAAAGGTGGAAGAAAATGAGGCCAGCTGTAAGTCCTCCAGACACATAGGGATGCAGGTTCATTTACACTAGACAATGTCCTTTTCAACACTTCAACCATGGGATCACGGGAGTTTCTCATGTGTTCTGTTCTGGGAGAATGCGGCCATTTCCTTGCTGGCTAGGGGCCCCTGTCAGACCCTGAACCGTTGGTAGTTGGGAGCCCCTTAGGGATCCCTGGGTAAAAATAGGACTCATTTACTTAACAATGACTAATCTGGCTCCCGTATATTTCAGATATATGAATTGTGCATGCAAAGTGATCTGCATTTAGGTTTCTGTTTATAATATCACACAGAGTGTAGCTCCAACATGCTTTACTGCAGTAAGCACAATTAATAAAAATCAAGTGAACTTTACTTCTTAAATAACTGCAAACACATTTAGCTCAAAGCCCTTAAAAATAATGACTCGAACTTCCGTTTTAACGGAAAATCAAATCAATGAGACAGAAATGTCACTGGCTGCTGATTGGACAGAGAAAGGCAAACAAAACGTGAGAGAATGTTGTAACATGAAAAGGCAATCAAGCGTGATTATCAAGATGTTCTTTAAAAAACAGCTTTTTATCACCAGTTGAAAACAACACACTCCAAACATGAAATAATAACTGTTGTGTGAATCGTTTTTGTAATTGATATTTCCCTGTCTTCTTACGTTATTTCATTAAATGTTTTCATCATCCAATTCACCTCTAATATTTCCATGATGAAAGTCCAAAACACAACGGCCACACTCCACTGCTCAGATCTCATCTCGTGGCTTTTTCTAACTCACTTGCTCCCCAGAGCCAGAGTCACCCCCGCTCTCGCCTCCCTCTCATGGCTTTCTATACTTTCATTTATGCCTCTGAGAAGTGTATGAGAGCGAGATGAAGAGAT